TGCCAAAATAGCACTCCTGATATTTTGAAAAATATTTCGAAATGACGGGCATGTTTAAAGGACGCGGAGTAGCTATTTTGGGATACTTCCAGCATCCCGAAATAGCCCCGATATCTAGATGTACCCTTACTGACAAAAAGCCTTTTTTTGGAAAATGGAGAATGTTAAGGGTTAAACAAAAAGAGTATCAATAAAAAGATGTGACTGAAAATCATAAAATCATATTAGAGAAAAGAGAAAAAAGAGAGAGAGAGAGAGAGAGAGAGAGAGAGAGAGAACATTTTTAGACTAAAAATTACTTAGTTACATTTCATTCCACTCTATTAAATCTCCACCAAGAGGCGCTTATTATAGGAGAAATAGAATCACAAGTATTTATTCTTCCATATAGAACAGGAAATTTCAGACATTTTTTTTTCATAGAATACTAGGACAGGAAAAGACCTCAGAAGGCATCGAATCCAGCTCCCTGCCCAAAGCAGGACCAACCCCAAATCAAGCAACCCAACCAGGGCTTTGTCAAGAGGGGTCTTCAAAACCTCTAGGTATGGAGATTCCACCCCTCCCTAGGGAACCCATTCAAACTAATAACACTGTTGTCTTATTTTTTTTACCTGGGCTGTTTTCACCTTCCTTATGCAATTTGTTCTCTTCCACTGCAGCATAGATGGGATACGGATTTGTCCCACATGTGGCGGCGTCCTTGTGGTCAGATAACTTCGTCTGATCATGCTGGGAAGGTAACGGTTAGGGTGGAAAGACATGTGTTTTGGCAAAGTTCCCAGCAATTTATCCCTGACTAATTAGTTCACGCAAGGAATTAGAAAGACTCTTTTCTCCTGAGATCATCACCATCTTTGTGATTATTCCCTTGTTCTAATATGGACACAAAAACAGAGTCATTGAATCCTAGGGCTGGAGGAGACCTCAGGAGCCATCGAGTCCAGCCCTCTGCCCAAAGCAGGACCAACCCCAACCCAATCAACCCAGCCAGGGCTTTGCCGAGCCAGAACTTCCACCACCTCCCTAGGGAACCCATCCCAGTGCTTTCACACCCTCCTGGGGTATGTCTAGACTACATGCCTCTGCCGAAAGAGGCATTTAAAATAGGCTACCCAACATAGTCAATGAAGTGGGGATTTAAATATCTCCGGCTTCATTAAAATAAACATGGCCACCGCGCTTTGCTGGCTCAGCTGATCGTCGGCACAACGCATGAATCAAGATGTGGATCAGTTGACAAGGGAAGCCTTTGTTGACTGCCCCTGTTAACCTCATTTCACAAGGCATAAGGGAGTGGGTGTCAAAGGTTTCCCTTGTCGACTGATCTGCGTCTTGACTCGCACGCTGTGCTGACGATCAGCTGAGCCGGCACAGCGCAGCGGCCGTGTTTATTTGAATGAAGCCGGGGATATTTAAATCCTTGCTTCATTGACTATGTTGGGTAGCCTATTTTAAATGCCTCTTTCGGCAGAGGCATGTAGTCTAGACATACCCCAGGAGGGTGTGGGGGATATTTAAATCCCAGCTTCATTGACTATGTCGGGTAGTCTAATTTACATGCCTCTGGCAACAGAGGCATGTAGTCTAGACATACCCCTAGTGAAATAGGTTCCTCTCTCCCTCTCCCTCTCTCTCTCTCTCTCTCTCCCTCTCCCTCTCTCTCTCAGTTTGTCTGTAAGTTGCTCCTTCCCTTTAACACCATAGGCAAATTCCTCAAAATCCCGATGGTGTGGCGCTTTTACACACGATGTGTATTCATCACTCTTCTACACCAAGACAGGCTAGAAAGAAAATGACAAGGATTTGGGGGGTCTTGAAGGGGGTGAAGGGAACGTGGAAAAAAACAGCCTTCAGAAGGGAAGGGGGGAACCATATCTAATGAATGGAGGAGGGCATGTCCATAAAGTCTGTAAATAATTTAGGTGCCCGTAAATTTCATAAAAGTTCAATAAAATTTCAAAAAACAGTAATTATTCTATAGCAATTACATTTCTTCTGTGCTGCTTCAGCCATTTTACTGCGGAACAGCAGAAATTGGACGTTTTAGTTGTTTATTTAGCTCAATGGTGGAGGTGACGTAACGTGAAGGACCATGACTAACTAAATGAAAGTGAGTTAAATAGCATATTGTTCTTGTGATGTATGAATGACAACAATTATTTTTCACTTTTGGTCATTTATGTCATCTTAATATAGTATAAAAATTATGTCTGTAAAAAAATGTGTCTGTCTGTAAACTTTTTCCATTTTGTCCGTAAATTAAAAGTCTGGGGGGTGGCAACCTTTACTAGGGGCCACCAAATGAAGTTAATGGGCAGCAAGTTTGGAACAAATAAAGGGAAGTTCTTCACACAGTGCACTGTCAACCTGTGGAACTCCTTGCCTGAGGAGATTGTGAAGGCTAGGACTATAACAGGGTATATAGAAGAACTGGATAGATTCATGGAGTACATTAATGGCTATTAGCCAGGATGGGTAAGGAGTGGTGTCCCCAGCCTCTGTTTGTCAGAGGGTGGAGATGGATGGCAGGAGAGAGATCACTTGATCATTTCCTGTTCAGTTCACTCCCTCTGGGGCACTTGGTGTTGGCCGCTATCAGCAGACGGGGTGTTGGGCTGGATGGACCTTTGGCCTCACCTAGTATGGCCATTCTTATGTTCTTATGTTCTAACCTCTGTCCATCCTCTCTGGAACCCCCCTGCAGGAAGTTGAAGGCTGCTCTCAAATCCCCCCTCACTCTTCTCTTCTGCAGACTAAAACCCTAAGTATTTGCAGTCCATGGTGGAGACTTTCAAATGGGCCTAAGCAGCTTTTTGTACATCCCATGGGTCTAAATCAGAGCAGGTTTATCTGTTCCAGCTAGGAATTACATTTACAGCTGCAATGGAGACATCTTCTGAGCACCCTCAAAATTAACAGGATTTAGGGAGCAGCACAGCCAGGTAATTTGGGGGCAAATATTAATCCAACTGAAAATTCATTTTCAGAGTATCATATATAGTAGCCCAAGTTTGTGACTCTGTAACGCTGTAGTGTTACGTGTTGCCTCTGGGAGGCACTGTTGCCTCCCGCCATGGAGCTCGGCTGACTTCTGCGCCACTCAGCTGGGCCGCCACGGTAGAGCAAGTGGTGCAAGCGGCCGTTTGGGCTCCGTGCTCCCCATGCAGGAGGGGGAGAAGAGAAAGAAAAGGAGGGCTCCCCATGCGAGAAGAGAAAGAGAGACTAAGGCTATGTCTAGACTGCAAGCCTCTTTCGAAAGAGCCTCTTTAGAAAGAGAGCGTCTAGACTGCATGGAGAAATTTCGAAAAAGCGGCTTGCTTTTTCAAAAGAAGCATCCAGTGAGTCTGGATGCTCTCTTTTGAAGAAGCCCTATTTACATTGAAGAACGCCTTCTTTCGAAAGAGGAACTTTCGAAAGAAGGCGTTCTTCCTCGTAAATTGAGGTTTACCGCCATCGAAAGAAAAGCCGCGTTCTTTCGAATTAATTTCGAAAGAACGCAGCTTGAGTCTGGACGCAGGGGAAGTTTTTTCGGGAAAAGGCTACTTTTCCCGAAAAAACCCCTGAGTCTGGACACAGCCTAAGTGAGAGGCAGGAGACAGAGAACTGAGAGAGAGGGGGAGAGACAGTAGGATGAGGGGAGAGAGAGTGAGACGGAGCGAGACACCAAGGCTCAGGAGAGAAGACCAAAATAGAAAGGGAATAGGACATGGAGGAGAGACCTGAAAATCCCATTTTATGACGGTCTAATTGACTAGTTGAAAATATTTGGGAATTCAGGTCAAAATTGGCGAGAACAAATGGCCATTTGAGAACAAACGGAAAACAAGAAGTTCCAAGGGCTAATTTTGTAAACTTGGCAATGACAAATTTCCATTGTGTTTTCATTTTGAAAGGGCATTCTGTTTCAAAAATTCACTAATTTAAAACAAAGAAGTTTTTTAGAAGTCCAAAAATGACCTGAAACCAATTTTAAAAAAGAGAAAAATAATAGTTTTGGGCAGAATAAAATTGGAGGAAAAACACCGGTGATTTAAAAATTGTCAGAGAGGGAGAACTTTCCACAACCAGGGATGTCCCTGAGGGCAAGAAAGAAAGAAAGAAAGAAAGAAAGAAAGAAAGAAAGAAAGAAAGAAAGAAAGAAAGAAAGAAAGAAAGAAAGAAAGAAAGAAAGAAAGAAAGAAAGAAAGAAAGAAAGAAAGAAAGAAAGAAAGAAAGAAAGAAAGAAAGAAAGAAAGAAAGAAAGAAAGAAAGAAAGAAAGAAAGAAAGAAAGAAAGAAAGAAAGAAAGAAAGAAAGAAAGAAAGAAAGAAAGAAAGAAAGAAAGAAAGAAAGAAAGAAAGAAAGAAAGAAAGAAAGAAAGAAAGAAAGAAAGAAAGAAAGAAAGAAAGAAAGAAAGAAAGAAAGAAAGAAAGAAAGAAAGAAAGAAAGAAAGAAAGAAAGAAAGAAAGAAAGAAAGAAAGAAAGAAAGAAAGAAAGAAAGAAAGAAAGAAAGAAAGAAAGAAAGAAAGAAAGAAAGAAAGAAAGAAAGAAAGAAAGAAAGAAAGAAAGAAAGAAAGAAAGAAAGAAAGAAAGAAAGAAAGAAAGAAAGAAAGAAAGAAAGAAAGAAAGAAAGAAAGAAAGAAAGAAAGAAAGAAAGAAAGAAAGAAAGAAAGAAAGAAAGAAAGAAAGAAAGAAAAGTGAGGCCACTTGATATATCCACCAACCCACCTGCTCCAGTTCTTTAGAGACACAGAAAGAGGCCCAGACATCTGTCAGAGAGAATAGTTCATCTTCCGCTGCCCGGCTCACATCAGCCAATGCCTGTTGAAGATCCCATGAAGTACTGGAAAGTGTCTCACACAGGCGTTTTTCCAAGTCCTGCACGTTCTCACTCCAGTCCTTCTCTTTGTAGAGGGTGGACATGCACCTAGTTAATGAACCAGAAGACACATGGCTGAGATTAAGGGACTAGAATGGGGAATTCCCATCCTCCTAGTCTTCTTACCTTTTATTTTTAATAGAGGGAATTCTCCTGATTGTCCTGCCCTTGTAACAAATCAACGACCATGTGCCTATCCCCTAAGAGCCTCTGCTGAAAGCTAAGACCCTGCCACACTGATCAAGAGAGAAACTCTACTTAGGAAGTAACAATCCATTTCACACATCCAAAACGGGAAACAACTGTCTAGGAAGGAGTCCTGAAGAAAGGGATTTAGGGGTCAGAGTGGACCACAAGCTAAGTATGAGTCAACTCTGGCTTTGCATCACTTTGCTTCCTTTTCCTGTCCTGTTTACTTCACAGTGACTTAAGACAGTGATTGCAATGGAAGTCAAAGGACCAGTCACGTCGGGCTCATCTGGCGTGGAATCACAGGTGTGACTGCAGCCTGTGTAGACACGGCCACGATAGCTTACACCAAGCTACCACAAGTGACCATTGCAGTCCTGATCTCAATGAGGGGGGTGGAGGGGTGTTGGCAATCTCCTACAGTCCACGCTATTGCCCCCGAGCATCACTGCCATCAGATCCTGAGTGAGGGAGGTTACCGTTTGCTCTGGTACGTCAATGCATGCTCCATCACTCTGTCCCCCCGTCACAGTGTGGACACACCCCTACGGGCTTTTGAAATCTCACCCATCAGGCACTGAAAATGTCCAGAGCTGAACAGGAGACCCCCAACTCTGTGCAAGAAAACTGGCTCATTCTCACGTCAATTGGTGAGCACCTACCAAGTGGAACCCGACACCCCGCACAGATACATGACGGCATCCAGCAGACCCTGTTTCTTCATCTCCACCAAGGTGCCCATAAGGGCGATCGTGGCTCGTAGGCCCCCGCCCGAACCTAGGATGGCGATATTGGGCATGTGAGCCTAGGGGAGAGAAAAACGGAATAGAATTGCTGAGGCTTCTGGGCTATTCAGCCTTTTGGACAGATCCATTCAAGACATTCACAGAGAGACTCTCAAGTTAAGAACATCAGAATGGCCACATTGGGTCAGATGAAAGGTCCAGCTAGCCCAGTGTCCTGTCTGCCAACAGTGGCCAATACCGGATGCCCCAGAGGGAATGAACGGAACAGGGAATCATTAAGTGAGCCAACCCCTGTTGCCAGCTTCTGACAAAGGGATGCTGGGGATACCTTTTCTACCCATCCTGGCTAATAGCCATTGATGGACCTAACCTCCATAACTTTTTCTAGCTCTTTTGTTGAACCCTGTTAAAAGCCTTGGCTTTTGTAGCATCCTATGGCATGTTGCTCCACATGTGTGTTGCATGAAGAAAAATGTAATTTTTCCTTCATTTGAAACCTGCTACCTATTAATTTCCCCTAGTTCTTATGTTAGGGGAACAAGTAAATAACTTTTCCTTATTCACTTTCCCCACACCAGTCGTGATTTTATAGACGCCCAAGACTTGTTTGCCTTATGCTCAGAAGCATTCCTTATCGGGCGTGTAATCATCAGTTTCCCATGTGAAGTCAAACGTAAATGCAGCGTATCCTGCATTTTCAACCACAATCGCACTGTGGGAGCCAAGTATCCATGGGGCTCTTTGGAACTTGGGGCCTTTAAAATTGGTCGCACCAACCAACAAACCAAGATCAGCATGTTCAAAAGGGGTGCAGAAAAATACTTAGAAGATATTTCAAAGGAACCTAAGCAGTCTCGGTGCCTGACTCCCATTGATTTTCACTGGACTTGAAATTTAGTTCAAACTTATTAGATCTTTTTATTGCCCTCCATATTTTTATCCCTGGGTCTCCAAGGTTCACAGGAGCAGTGTTGTTTGAACAAACGTGTAGCATGCAAGCATGATCATTTGTTTCCAAAAACTCATGACATACAATTGCTTAAGAAATAACATTTTTTCCCATCAACATTTGGTTTTGTTTTTGGAGGACCTAAAAAAATGAAGGGGGATTGTCCAGGCCCATGAACCTTGAACACCGAAACATGCTGAGACTCCCTCCCTTGAACTGAAGGATGAATACTGTGAAGGGGAAGATGTTCCCCGGTATGTCAGGTCGACAAGAGCTCATATCCCTTCCTTTTTGAGGATGAGTCAGGATTCTAGAACTTTCCTCCTCTGTCACCACCATGTCAGGGAATGGTGCTAAGCAGCAGTAGTTGGCTTTTATCCCCTGTGCAGCTCCATCAGCAGAGGGGGATATGATACATGTAGGAAGTGATCTGTCACTGATATCTTACTGTATATTTTAGAAATGCGTGTCCTTCCATCCGTCCGTCTGTTAGTCTGTTTGTTCAAGAACTCTTCCTACACGGTAGGAGCTAGGGCCACCGAATTCGGTAGGCAGCTCCCTCTTATCATAACTGAAAGCAAGGCCAAGGTTTGGTTGTGCCAGGACAATGGGATGTGCCTGGAATGGGATTGTGTCTTATAAAATGAAAAAGGAGGGGTCTGACAGGAAGGACAGTTTTACTGCAGAATGACCACAGGGGGCTAGAGATGGGGGAGGAATGGAGAAAGGAGCAGCTATCTATTCTGTATTTGAGAGATTTTGTCTGCTTCCTTGTGTGTCTATCCTCCAGCCAGGACATGATGGACCACTACCTTATCACAGGTAATACCAAGTCTCTTCAGGCACTCCAGGACTTTCGCCTTTCTGTTCCCGGTGGCTTCTTTCTCCCCCTCCGAGAGCTCATGGGAAAGTCGGACACTTGTGTCATCCTGCCAAAAATAAAGTAAAATGTCAGTTATCTAGCTCATCTCTCCAAAACTTGCCATAGACTGGGCAGGTGGGGACTGTGTGCAGCGAACACCAGTTCCTCGGAGGTTTTCCAGAATTCACTTTTTGTATTTGCAGCATGAACGTATCTAGAAACCTCAGCCAAGGTCACAGGCAAATCTGGGCAAATGACCGATACTTTGGTTCACTGGACGTGCTAAGAAATTGGGAAATTAGAATTGATTCGGGCCAAAGCCACTCCAAAAATTCCAGAAAAGGTCCCTCAAATTGAAATAAATCTCCTTTTGGTAAAACTAAACAAGTTTCTGTAAGAGAAATATCATACCTTGCTCATCTGAGGCATTTTCAAAGCTTTTTCCAGATATCCCTGTAGAGCTCTTGGTGATATGGAATTCTTTCTTGGGTGGCAAATAAACTTTTCAGAGAGTGCTTAGCCAGGAGGACCAGGTCAATTTCTAACAGCTGCTTTCTTCTCTATGTGCCTGCCACAGAGAAAAGGAACAGTGAGTATTGTTCAGTAGGAAGTGCGATGTCTAAAGGAATCTAGTTAGGAGCTGAAATCCTAGTGAATCTCGTCCTGGAAATGTAAAAGAAAACAAGTTAACATGCAGCTTGGTTGGTTTAGAGGTTCCACTTCGACCACTACCTTATCACAGGTAATACCAAGTCTTACCTGCATGTCTACACTGCAACACTATTTTGAAATAACTAGCGCTATTCTGAAATAGCGTAGTCTGTGTCTACACAGCAGGCAGCTATTTCAAAATAGTGTCAAAACACTGTCAAGCTAGAGGACTTCTTACTCTGACTCCTATAACCCTCATTGTATGAGGAATAAGGGAAGGCAGAGGAAGAATGCTCTATTTTGAAATAAGTGCTGTGTAGACACTCCCGATTTTGAAATAAGCTATTTTCGACGTAAAATATGCAATTAACGTAGCTCAATTTGCATAGCTTATTTCGGGTTCAGCTGTGCAGCATAGATGCACCCTAACAGGAGTCAAAAAAGAGCTAGATAAATTCATGGAGGTTAGGTCCATCAATGGCTGTTAGCCAGGATGGGCAGCGATGTCTTCCCTAACCTCTGTGTGTCAGAGGTTGGAAATGGGCGACAGGGGAGGGATCACGTGAGGATTCCCTGTTCTGTTCACGCCCTCTGGGGCACCTGGCATTGGCCACTGTGGGCAGAGAGGACGCTGGGCTGGATGGACCTTTGGTCTGACCCCGTCTGGCCATTCTTATCTTTTTATGTTCTTTCCACAAATAGATGAGAGAGAAAAAAATGTTGGTGTCAAATTAGGTTCAGATTTAAAACGAACAAACAAAAAACAGGAACAACATTTCTCTCCTGCTGCACCGCAAAGTGCTGACGGTCTGGGTTCCCAAACCTGCCCTTCCGATCAAGTGCATTTATGGCGGGAGAGGGAGATGGGGGTGTATGCAGAGCGCCAGATGACCAGAGAGATGTATTGATCGGTGTGGTGTGTATTATTGTGACACAAAGAAGAAAAGGCTTGATTAAAAGCTTCAAGTGAGAGCAAAGACCTAGGAAGATAGATGCAGTCCCAGGACCCGGTGTGGAGCCTGATAACTCATGTCCTGAGCAGCAGCCAAGGGGGAAACCCGACATTCAGTTTCAACGTTACTGTCCTGGGTAAAGTTAGCGGAGAGCAGAGTCACCGGAAGCCAGACAGCAGACTGGTTATATAGATATCAGTTCAGCATTGTAGCTACTAAGACGCCAAACCTCCACCCATGTGAATCAACTCCCTCTTATCATAACTGAAAGCAAGGCCAAGGTTTGGTTGTGCCAGGACAATGGGATGTGCCTGGAATGGGATTGTGTCTTATAAAATGAAAAAGGAGGGGTCTGACAGGAAGGACAGTTTTACTGCAGAATGACCACAGGGGGCTAGAGATGGGGGAGGAATGGAGAAAGGAGCAGCTATCTATTCTGTATTTGAGAGATTTTGTCTGCTTCCTTGTGTGTCTATCCTCCAGCCAGGACATGATGGACCACCCACGATAGCTTACACCAAGCTACCACAAGTGACCATTGCAGTCCTGATCTCAATGAGGGGGGTGGAGGGGTGTTGGCAATCTCCTACAGTCCACGCTATTGCCCCCGAGCATCACTGCCATCAGATCCTGAGTGAGGGAGGTTACCGTTTGCTCTGGTACGTCAATGCATGCTCCATCACTCTGTCCCCCCGTCACAGTGTGGACACACCCCTACGGGCTTTTGAAATCTCACCCATCAGGCACTGAAAATGTCCAGAGCTGAACAGGAGACCCCCAACTCTGTGCAAGAAAACTGGCTCATTCTCACGTCAATTGGTGAGCACCTACCAAGTGGAACCCGACACCCCGCACAGATACATGACGGCATCCAGCAGACCCTGTTTCTTCATCTCCACCAAGGTGCCCATAAGGGCGATCGTGGCTCGTAGGCCCCCGCCCGAACCTAGGATGGCGATATTGGGCATGTGAGCCTAGGGGAGAGAAAAACGGAATAGAATTGCTGAGGCTTCTGGGCTATTCAGCCTTTTGGACAGATCCATTCAAGACATTCACAGAGAGACTCTCAAGTTAAGAACATCAGAATGGCCACATTGGGTCAGATGAAAGGTCCAGCTAGCCCAGTGTCCTGTCTGCCAACAGTGGCCAATACCGGATGCCCCAGAGGGAATGAACGGAACAGGGAATCATTAAGTGAGCCAACCCCTGTTGCCAGCTTCTGACAAAGGGATGCTGGGGATACCTTTTCTACCCATCCTGGCTAATAGCCATTGATGGACCTAACCTCCATAACTTTTTCTAGCTCTTTTGTTGAACCCTGTTAAAAGCCTTGGCTTTTGTAGCATCCTATGGCATGTTGCTCCACATGTGTGTTGCATGAAGAAAAATGTAATTTTTCCTTCATTTGAAACCTGCTACCTATTAATTTCCCCTAGTTCTTATGTTAGGGGAACAAGTAAATAACTTTTCCTTATTCACTTTCCCCACACCAGTCGTGATTTTATAGACGCCCAAGACTTGTTTGCCTTATGCTCAGAAGCATTCCTTATCGGGCGTGTAATCATCAGTTTCCCATGTGAAGTCAAACGTAAATGCAGCGTATCCTGCATTTTCAACCACAATCGCACTGTGGGAGCCAAGTATCCATGGGGCTCTTTGGAACTTGGGGCCTTTAAAATTGGTCGCACCAACCAACAAACCAAGATCAGCATGTTCAAAAGGGGTGCAGAAAAATACTTAGAAGATATTTCAAAGGAACCTAAGCAGTCTCGGTGCCTGACTCCCATTGATTTTCACTGGACTTGAAATTTAGTTCAAACTTATTAGATCTTTTTATTGCCCTCCATATTTTTATCCCTGGGTCTCCAAGGTTCACAGGAGCAGTGTTGTTTGAACAAACGTGTAGCATGCAAGCATGATCATTTGTTTCCAAAAACTCATGACATACAATTGCTTAAGAAATAACATTTTTTCCCATCAACATTTGGTTTTGTTTTTGGAGGACCTAAAAAAATGAAGGGGGATTGTCCAGGCCCATGAACCTTGAACACCGAAACATGCTGAGACTCCCTCCCTTGAACTGAAGGATGAATACTGTGAAGGGGAAGATGTTCCCCGGTATGTCAGGTCGACAAGAGCTCATATCCCTTCCTTTTTGAGGATGAGTCAGGATTCTAGAACTTTCCTCCTCTGTCACCACCATGTCAGGGAATGGTGCTAAGCAGCAGTAGTTGGCTTTTATCCCCTGTGCAGCTCCATCAGCAGAGGGGGATATGATACATGTAGGAAGTGATCTGTCACTGATATCTTACTGTATATTTTAGAAATGCGTGTCCTTCCATCCGTCCGTCTGTTAGTCTGTTTGTTCAAGAACTCTTCCTACACGGTAGGAGCTAGGGCCACCGAATTCGGTAGGCAGCTCCCTCTTATCATAACTGAAAGCAAGGCCAAGGTTTGGTTGTGCCAGGACAATGGGATGTGCCTGGAATGGGATTGTGTCTTATAAAATGAAAAAGGAGGGGTCTGACAGGAAGGACAGTTTTACTGCAGAATGACCACAGGGGGCTAGAGATGGGGGAGGAATGGAGAAAGGAGCAGCTATCTATTCTGTATTTGAGAGATTTTGTCTGCTTCCTTGTGTGTCTATCCTCCAGCCAGGACATGATGGACCACTACCTTATCACAGGTAATACCAAGTCTTACCTGCATGTCTACACTGCAACACTATTTTGAAAACACCCCCAGTCAGCTCCATCCCCACATAGCATTCAGCCCAGATCTGCCCAATACCTGCAGCCCTGGATCACACACACACACACAAATCACAGTGAAATCGTGAACTTCCCCACGCCTGGGCTAGCAGTCCTCAGAGCAGGCAGATTGGCCTCACGGAGCATACTGACCAGACAAATAGAAATGGGCCTGTCAGAATTAGGACTGGGAAAAACTTAAAAAACAACAAATGGGTCTGGTAGCATCTTAAAGACTAACACAGAATGGCTGTGTCTAGACTGGCCAGTTTTTCCGCAAAATCAGCCACTTTTCCGGAAAAACTTGCCAGCTGTCTACACTGGCCGCTTGAATTTCCACAAAAGCACTGACGATCTACTGTAAGAAATCAGTGCTTCTTGCAGAAATACTATGCTGCTCCCGTTCAGGCAAAAGTCCCAGGCGAAAATGGCAATCGGGGCTTTTTTGCGGAAAAGCGCATCTAGATTGGCACAGACGCTTTTCCGCAAAAAGAGCTTTTTCGGAAAAGCGTCCGTGCCAATCTAGATGTGCTTTTCCGAAAATGCTTTCAATGGAAAACTTTTCCATTAAAACCATTTCCGGAAAATCATGCCAATCTAGACGCAGCCAATGGAGATGGTATCATGAGCTTTCGTGGGCACAGCCCACTTCTTCAGATGACGGGAGTGTTAGAAGTCCAGATCCAAGAATAAATAAGAGAAGGAGGGAGAGGGGGAGAAGGAAAAAAAGAGAAAGAGAAAAAAAAAGGAGGAGAGGAAGAAAAAAAAGAGACACAGTGAGTAGATAATTAACCAACCAACCATCAAATGAAGGTGCTAATGGTTCTTATCAACCTCTTGTAACTATTTGAACTATCTACTCACTGTCTTTCTTTTTTTTTCTTCCTCCCATCCTTTTTTTTCTCTTCCCTCCACCTTCATCCCCAGTCCTTCTCTTATTTATTCTTGGATCTGGCCTTCTAACACTCTGGTCATCTGAAAATGTGGGCTGTGCCCACGAAAGCTCGTTACCACCTACATGTTGTCTGTAAAGTGCTACCTGTCTAATTTTTGTTTTTTTAAGTTTTTCCTGTTACAGACTAACTCGGCTACCCCTCGGAAGAATGATTATTGAGAGGCGAGTTACAGAGAAAGTAGATTTCCTGGAGAATGAGTGTGTTAATCTAAAAAAATATCCCAGAACAGGGCAGCTAGACATCTTCTGCCCACTGCAGAGAGCAGAAGGGAAGGAGCAGAAAAGGGATAGCAGAGGGTGGATGGGGAAGGGGCAGCTATACTGTATAATGGGCACTAGGGGAAGCAGAGGGTAGGGGTGGCGGAGGGGCGGCTATACTGTATAATGGGCACTAGGGGAAGCAGAGGGTAGGGGTGGCGGAGGGGCGGCTATACTGTATAATGGGCACTAGGGGAAGCAGAGGGTAGGGGTGGCGGAGGGGCGGCTATACTGTATAATGGGCACTAGGGGAAGCAGAGGGTAGGGGTGGCGGAGGGGCGGCTATACTGTATAATGGGCACTAGGGGAAGCAGAGGGTAGGGGTGGCGGAGGGGCGGCTATACTGTATAATGGGCACTAGGGGAAGCAGAGGGTAGGGGTGGCGGAGGGGCGGCTATACTGTATAATGGGCACTAGGGGAAGCAGAGGGTAGGGGTGGCGGAGGGGCGGCTATACTGTATAATGGGCACTAGGGGAAGCAGAGGGTAGGGGTGGCGGAGGGGCGGCTATACTGTATAATGGGCACTAGGGGAAGCAGAGGGTAGGGGTGGCGGAGGGGCGGCTATACTGTATAATGGGCACTAGGGGAAGCAGAGGGTAGGGGTGGCGGAGGGGCGGCTATACTGTATAATGGGCACTAGGGGAAGCAGAGGGTAGGGGTGGCGGAGGGGCGGCTATACTGTATAATGGGCACTAGGGGAAGCAGAGGGTAGGGGTGGCGGAGGGGCGGCTATACTGTATAATGGGCACTAGGGGAAGCAGAGGGTAGGGGTGGCGGAGGGGCGGCTATACTGTATAATGGGCACTAGGGGAAGCAGAGGGTAGGGGTGGCGGAGGGGCGGCTATACTGTATAATGGGCACTAGGGGAAGCAGAGGGTAGGGGTGGCGGAGGGGCGGCTATACTGTATAATGGGCACTAGGGGAAGCAGAGGGTAGGGGTGGCGGAGGGGCGGCTATACTGTATAATGGGCACTAGGGGAAGCAGAGGGTAGGGGTGGCGGAGGGGCGGCTATACTGTATAATGGGCACTAGGGGAAGCAGAGGGTAGGGGTGGCGGAGGGGCGGCTATACTGTATAATGGGCACTAGGGGAAGCAGAGGGTAGGGGTGGCGGAGGGGCGGCTATACTGTATAATGGGCACTAGGGGAAGCAGAGGGTAGGGGTGGCGGAGGGGCGGCTATACTGTATAATGGGCACTAGGGGAAGCAGAGGGTAGGGGTGGCGGAGGGGCGGCTATACTGTATAATGGGCACTAGGGGAAGCAGAGGGTAGGGGTGGCGGAGGGGCGGCTATACTGTATAATGGGCACTAGGGGAAGCAGAGGGTAGGGGTGGCGGAGGGGCGGCTATACTGTATAATGGGCACTAGGGGGCAGCAGAGGGTGGATGGGGAAGGGGCAGCTATACTGTATAATGGGCACATGAATGACCCCACATCGATTCAAGTCAATACTTGGTTTAAAATAATATTTTGGTCGACTTTGAGAGCACTATGGCCTATTGTGGTGACCTGCTATTCCCCCAAGGGCCCAGCGATTCTTAAGGGGACCCGGCTCACAGCCCCTGTTGCTACTGGAAGATCCCAACCCCTGGACGATAAAGTTAGCAGAGACTTTAATCTCCCATGCCAGGCACTTGTAGCTTCACCTGTCTCCTTGCATGTACTCACAGGAAGATGTGTGGTTCTCTGGCGTTCGTGGGCCATGCAGCGCAGTCGTGAATGGAACTGAAGTCTGTCCCGTCTTTTTCCTGCTCAGTAAAATTCGTTGCAGACCTTCCTCTTCGTCTCGGCTGACAGCCTCCTCGTGCCTCCCCGCTGCTTCCCCCGTCGTGACAGTCTGTGTCTGACACTTCCCCTTTTTTAACCTGCTAGAGGGTTTCTTTTGCTTTTCCCTGTCTGCTGCTACCTCTCATAGAATCACCGAATCCCAGGGCTAGAAGAGTCCTCAGGAGTCATCGAGTCCAGCCCCCTGCCCAAAGCAGGACCAACCCCAACTCAATCATCCCAGCCAGGGCTTTTTCACACCAGGACTTAAACACGTCTGGGGATGGAGATTCCACCCCTCCCTAGGGAACACATCCCTGTGCTTTTCCTAATATACAACCTAGACCTCCCCCACTGCATGTTGAGCCCATTGCTCCTCGTTCTGCCATCTGCCACCACTGAGAACAGCCTCTCTCCATCCTCTTTGGACCCCCCCTTCAGGGAGTTGAAGGCTGCTCTCAAATCCCCCCTCACTCTTCTCTTCTGCAGACTAAACAAGGGCATGTCTACACTAGCCACCGTAGTTCGGACTAGGGTGGCTAATGCAGTCATTCGAACTTGCAAATAAAGCCTGTGATTTAAATATCCCGGGCTTCATGTGCATGTTCCCGGGAGCCACCGTTTTTAAATGCCCGGTAGTTCAAACTACCTGTCCGCGGCTACACATCGCATGGGCTAGGTAGTTTGAACTGAAGCTCCTAATTTGAACTACTGTTATTCCTCCTGCAATGAGGGGTAACAGTAGTTCGAATTAGGAGCTTTAGTTCGAACTACCTAGCCTGTGCCGCGTGTAGCCGCACGCAGGCAAGTAGTTTGAACTATGGGCATTTAAAAATGGCAGTGCCTGGGAACATGCAAATGATTACATTAGCCACTCTAGTTTGAACTAGGGTGGCTAGTGTAGACTTACCCCAAGTCCAAATCCCTCAGCCTCTCCTCATAGGTCATGTGCTCCAGCCCCCTCATCATTTGTGTTGCTCTCTACTGGACCCTCTCCAATGTGTCCACATCCTTTCTGTAGTGGGGGCCCCAGAACTGGACACAATACTCCAGATGTTGCCTCACCCGTGCCAAATAAAGGGGAGTAATCACTTATCTAGACCTACTGGCAATGCTCCTCTTAATACAACCTAAGATGCCATTTGCCTTCTTGGCTACAAGGGCGCCCTGATGACTCAACTCCAACTTCTCATCCACTGTAACCCCCAGGTCCTTTTCTGTAGAACTGCTACTTAGCCAGTCGGTCCCCAGCCCGTAACAATGTTTGGGATTCTTCTGTCCCAAGTGCAGCACTCTGCACTTGTCCTTGTTGAACCTCATCAGATTTCTTTCGGCCCAATCTTCTAAGCTGTCTAGGTCACTCTGGGCCCTATCCCTCCCTCTCCACCAGGGAAGTGGGGCTGAGGGCCCATGTTGTCCCATTCTGCCTGTTTGTTCCCATGGCCACCGGGATATGAGAAGTGAAATTATAGTAAAGAACATTTGCAGGTGAAGTTGCATCTCTACGTGCATCTTTCTCCCGCACTCTCTTCGGGATTTGGATGTCACAGAACCTCAGGGCTGGCTGCGACCTCAGGAGTCATCGAGTCCAGCCCCCTGCCCAAAGCAGGACCGACCCAACTCAATCCTCCCAGCCAGGGCTCTGCTGCTGAACAGGCACGCTGACAGAGAGGGAGAAATGGGGGGTGAGAGGCGGAGACACCAGGGACCAGACAGCCTCAGATGGCACGTGCTAGGTGGCCCCGTCTACCTGAAGTGCCGCCCCTTTCAGGAACCAGTGGACCCTCCCTCACGTTTTCCCAAGGCCTGGCGAAGTCTTCTGCCCAATCTCAATCTCCTTCCTGGCAATTCGTGTTTTCTGAAACGTCACACATTTGAGCTCACCCCGGAGCCCTCTGGAGTCCTGCTGCTCCTTCTTCTCCCCCAAATGAGTGGTCCTTGCCCCGGTGTCGTTCGATGTCTTGACATTGGCCAAGAGCCGGTGGCTGCGATTCGAGGACCGGGAAATAGGCACAGAGACCGTTGCCGGTGTCGGAACACGCAGGCGTCTTAGCTTCTCCCTCATCCCTGAGGGAAGGCCTGGCCTGATTCAGCGGCTCCGTTTTCCTTCTCAACGGGCTCTCCGAAGGGCGGCAGGCCATCTATCAGCTCCCTTCACCTGCCAAGGTCGCTGCTCTAATGTGTCTTTCTCGAAACCAGATCCACCTGGAGGGCCATGGCTGGTGGGACTGTTCAGCATCTCTGCTGGCCCCCACAAATCTCTGGAGGGACCTTTTGTCCACTATCTGAATGGCCTTGCCTTGTTCGATGCCTATGCTAGGAGCTCTCTCTTTGGAGGTGGCCTTCAACCTACTGCCTCTTAGGGTACGTCTAGACTACAAGCCTCTTTCAAAAGAGATCGTCTAGACAGCCACAAGACTTTTGAAAAAGCGATCCGCTTTTTCAGAAGACAGCACCCAGGCAATCTGGATGCTCTCTTTCGAAAAAGCCCTGTTTGCGTTCAAGAACGCCATTTTTTGAAAGAGCTCATTTGAAAAAAGCCATTCTTTTTTGTAAAAGTCGGTATGCCAATATTGAAAAAACCACCGTGTTCTCTCAATTTAATTTTGAAAGACTGCAACAGCCGTCTACATACCCCAGACCCGACCCATTTAAGAAAAAACTCCGTAGTCTAGACACACCCTTAATGTCAACAAATAGTCCAGGCAAGCCATTTTCAAATGCTTTGTCTCATGACCCAATTGAAAATCGTTGATGACGCAACCCAACATAGTTTGACAGGAGTGTGGGCTCTGGGGCAGGGCTGAGGAGGGGAGCTTTGGGGTGCAGAGGGGGCTCCAGCTTTGGGATGATCAGGTTTGGGACAGAGGAGGGCTGATCTTGAGCAGCTAATGGTCAACGGTGCAGTGGGGGAAGGGGGAAGGGAGCTTCCTGCCTCTCCCTGCCCCACAGACATGCTGCCCCCCAGAGGCAGCCAGCAGCAGGTTCCCAGCCAATGGGAGTGTGGAGCTAGTGGGGCAGTGCATGGAGCCTTGAGCACTCCCACCAAGGAGCCGGGCCTGGTGCCGACCACTTCTGGGGCGCAATGCAGCCTGTGGTGCCAGGACAGCTAGGAAGCTCCCTTAGCCCCCCTTCTGCTCACCTGATCTACCTGCAACTCCGAGCTCCAGCGCCCGACATCCTGACACCCAACGCTGGGTCACAACCCCTAGTTTGGAACCCACTTCTCTATGGGACTTCCTTCCCATCACCGAGAACCAGGGCAATGACCCCGCACAGTTTTCCTTCAGTGGTGCAGTCCTGAAGAGGTCAACGTTTGGGGGCAGGGACTTAGGAATAAAGCTTCTGGGCTGTGTCTAGACTGGCAAGTTTTTCCGCAAAATCATCTGCTTTTCCGGAAAAACTTGCCAGCTGTCTACACTGGCCACTTGAATTTCTACAAGAACACTGATGATCTCATGTAAGATTATCAGTGTTCTTGCAGAAATACTATGCTGCTCCCGTTCGGGCAAAAGCCCTCTTGCGCAAATCATTTGCACAAGAGGGCCAGTGTAGACAGCACAGGACTGTTTTGCGCAAAAAAGCCCTGATGGCAAAAATGGTGATCGGGGCTTTTTTGCGCAAAAGCGCGTCTAGATTGACACGGACGCTTTGCCGCAAAAAGTACTTTTGCAGAAAAGCACCCTGCCAAACTAGACGTGTTTTTCCGAAAACGCTTTTAACGGAAAACTTTCCATTAAAAGTATTTCTGGAAAATCATGCCAGTGTAGACGTAGCTCTGGAGTTTATTAATGACAGTTAATGGTGTGACTCCTTCCTCCCATACTGCTGAGCTCTTTTCCCACAGCGGCTATTTCTATATTTGATCCCACTGTACGAGATGCTTCCCTTTCCATTTTACCCACCAAGAAGACACCGTCCTTATTTTCAACCCCCTCAGCATGAATGGGAAGACACTTCCCCTTTATTTTTCTTTCTCAGCTGGGTGATTACAACATCACATACACAGACAAGCAAAACCACACAAAAACTCATTAGCAAGCATAACTGAACGCAGGAATTTCTCAGTCACAGCACGCATCCCACAGTCCTTGTTACCTACATGAGGTACTTGATCTTCATTTCCTTCCACCCGTAAGGTCTAAAGGCTTCATCCTTTCTGTTGTCCGTTGTATGTTCTCTAGAGCCACCTGCTAAATGCCATCTGTAGCCTTTTATTTTATTTAAAGTGAATTTTGTAATGGGGTGTTTCCCCTCTTGGGTTTGGCTCTGCTGTGGCTTCAGTTTCAATCCGAGGTCAGGTCAACACGAAAGGGGAAGGTCGAATCAAGATACGCAAGTCCAGCTATGTTACTTATGTACCTGGAATTGATGTATTTTGATTTGATTTTCGTCCCCACAATGGGAGGCCATCCGGAGAAAACACTCCCATCGGCTTCCCTTACCCCCTCGCAGGAGCAAGAGTACTGGCTGCTGATTGGAGCAACCTCCAAATTTGATTTAGCGGGTCTTAACTAGACCCCCTAAATCAAACTCTGGAAGATTAATCACAGCAGCATCAATCTTCCCCAGAGTGTAGACACGGCCTTAGCGGAGTGCAAGTCACCTTGGCTACTTGCTTCATGGTTAGAGTCTCTAGGAACAGATAAAGACCCAGGGTAGAGACCACACCCCTATTTTCAAGTACAAGTTCTATCTGCTTTACAAGCTTTAGTAAAGTTGCGAGGAGTCCTGTGGTACCTTATAGACTAACCGAAGTATTATAGACTAACCGAAGTGTTGGAGCATAAGCTTTCGTGGGCAAAGACCCACTGTCAGATGCATGCATGCACCCACTTTGACATGTGTCTGACGAAGTGGGTCTTTGCCCACGAAAGCTTATGCTCCAACACTTCGGTTAGTCTATAAGGTGCCACAGGGCTCCTCACCGCTTTTGCAGATTCAGACTAACACGACTACCCCTCTGATACTTTAGCAAAGTTACAATTGATCTTAGTTACCTAAGCATATAGAAATTCCATGCAGACCTATGCACAAATTACACA